CAGCTTTCAGATAATCTTTGCAGAGTTTTGCCAGTGAGCTAATATAGGAGTCAGTTGAGCTGAAGCACAGATGCATCCATACATAAGTTGCAGGACGTCGGCCCTTTAACGACTGGAGTTTGAGACCACTAACTCATAGATACACTTCAATCTAAATGTCTCTGTTGTTTCTCTGGCTGTTTGTTTCTAGGTCACTCTATTTGCTAGCAGATGCCCCTTTGCCCCAGTCATAAACCTTTTGTAGTTACAGGTTTTCTTCCACATTTGCCATGTCTAGCTTCACCAATCTCCCCATCAACTACAACCAGTTCCCAGTAACTGATCAAAAAAAGCAAGCCCAGACTATGATGCTGGTGCAGCAATGTTTCTTGGTGGGATAGGGTAACACGCAGTTCAGTTTAACATGCAGTGTTTGTATTCTTACTCTCTTAGCATTCTTAATCTATGTAAAAATATGGGTCTCATCTGACCAACCAATAAAATGTCTTGACATTTATTTTCTGATAAATCATGTTTTAGCTACGTCTCTACAAAGGCCAGAGGGGAGGTAAGTAAATCCACAAATATGTCCAACAGTTGTGTACATCTAAGCTTTGATTGTCCCCAAAGTTATATGGGCCTTTCTGGACATTGTTCTGCTTTCCTAATTTTGCTGGGCGGATAAACTAAGGAGGACTGACATGGCTAGTTAGTTTTACATTCTCTTAATTACCTACGTGACAGGCTCAAGTCTTGAGATAGATTTGTTTTGACGTGGCAGATCTTTTAACTTCCACACAGCTTTAACCCTGATTGCTCTGCTGCGTTCCTTGTAAACTGTGACTGAGAGGTGCAAGCACCAAGCAAGCAGAAACAGTGGCACCACCAGGGCGTGGCCAAGGATGGCCACGGCCTCCCTGTGCAAGGCCCTGGTCACCCCGCACGCCAGCGTAAACTATAGTAGCATCATTCCGTAAAAGTTCAAAAAAATCCACTGGACTTGGTTTCCAAGATTTGAAGATGCTTCGCCACCTCTCCAGGAAGCTTTCTCAATTCAAAATGAATTAATTGATTGATTGATGATTTTGAAATGAGAAAGCTTCCTGGAGAGGTGGCGAAGCATCTTCAAATCTTGGAAACCGAGTCCAGTGGATTTTTTTTAACTTTACGGAATGACTATGACCTGGATGACTGGGAATCTTCATCAGCATGTAGTTGCATCAGTTCAGCATTTCATCCCATTATGCACAGCCAGTGACGTGACATTAAAAATCACGCAATAAACCAAGAAATGATGATGTTTACTTAAGTCGTTATGATTTAAGTAAACAGCTACTCAGACAGGCAGGTTTACCACAATAGTAGGTTCAAACCTTGAAATTATGGCTTTTAGTTTCAGTGTGCCACCCCAAGATTTTTAGTGGCCCCATCTGGCCACCCCTATGAAACATTTGTGGAGGCGCCACTGAACAGAAAATACAAAAAGTACAGCTAACACAAAAACTGGATTAGCAAACACAAATATAACACTAATAATAATAACCAGAACAAAGACTAAGGATACTTGCTGCAAAAGAGAAAATGCTGCATTTACAAAAATGTAGGGCGGTGAAATGCAAATACTCTGCAAATACATAAAGGACACTAACACGCACAATCAACACACAAAAGACATGGAAAGGAACATTGCATTAAGAAGCAAACACAACAGCAATTTAAGATATAAAGCTCAAAAATACCTATGCATAACACAAGAGCTCCAGAACACTAGAAGGTGATCATTAACTCTCATGGGATCAGACCCTTAACAAAGATGGTGCTCTGCTTAGATAGTTGAAAAAGACTCAAAGGAAAATATACCTTATTTTCTTTCCCTCCAAATGTCCTCCAGGTAGGCATCCCATATACGTTTAATTTTTTTAAGTGTCTGATCCATATACATTAATATTGTATATTTTGTAATGTTTTTGGCCTGGTTTTGCGGTTCTTCCCCTAATTTGAAGCTTGCAATATTTTTTCCTTTGCATGCATTTTAGGTTTTAATCTATTTTATGAATTTGCTGTACTTTTTGTACTTTTTGATTTGCAGCACATTTATGTATTTGCAGCACCATTGCACCCTTTCACATCACACCTTATTAGGCTGTATACTCACTAATGTTCTTGCAAAAACCTGTGAGACTTTCACCAAGCAGCTGATTTTCTAATCAGATCAAATTATAAAGGGGGACTATTTGCTCAATAAACAATCAAATAAGGTCAGATGTAAAGGGGAGCTAAATTCAGATCTATACATATTATCTATGTATTTATTTTTTACACATATAATAGCATCTATCATTTTAATTCTACTTCACAATTAAGCATAACTCATAGTGCAAAAAAATGGCAGTTTGTTCTTGTAGCATAAATAAGTGGTTACAAACAGGTTTGTATTGCTGTCTAGGAGTTTGAGTAATTTTGATTGCTAATTACCAAACATTTTTCACATCCATCGTAGCACGCCGCTCTTCTCCATGAAGGAGAAATGTGAGTGGGCCAGAGAAGGTTGTCCTGCACCTGGACGAGCTGGCCCTTTTATTTACAGCCGTGGCGAGGATCAAACTCTGACTGGCTTGGACACCTGCAATTGGCAAATATGTTCTCCATCAGTGACCTACAGACTTTTTTTTCTGGACAGGAAGACTGGGAAACCATTGTTCTCTCTAGCAATGGCAGCCAAGGTATTCTGGGACTCTTAGGCACTTGTCAGAAACAATAAGTTATTCATCCTAACTTAGTTATAAGTTTTAAGCCAAATGAAGTTAATCTACTAAAATGTCTAGCATCAATTCATAACGAACCATAACTGAATTAATGGCTGTGGATTTGCTTTTTATGAATAATATGCAATCGTTTTATATTATAAGTGTTTACAGAATATTTTCCAGTCAACAAATAGTGACTAAACACATTAGTTGATAATACTAATAGCATTGTTTTATTGAACTCACCCAAATATATAAAAATACCTATCTTCTTAGTAAGCATTAGCCGTGGTCTCAGTTTAAACACAAGACAGTGGAGCTCCTTATTCCCCCAGTCTGATACATGATATGCACTTTTTAAACAAATCACCTGGTCTCTGCTTCTATACAGTCCTACACAAGGCCATGGGGTTTGAGGATTTTGCAATGTCATCTGGGATTAAAAAGGGGCAGCACATCAGAGCCCTAGGCCACGCCACCTGGAGCCCCAACACGATCCCGGGCACTGCTGCATTCAAAACCATCCACAGCTTAGCTTACTGCCAAAAAATACTTGCTCAACCAAACGACACGGAGCTCACAAAGCACCGTCTCAGAAAAGATTACAACCTCAACAAGAAACTCTTTGATTGCAGGTCTGCTTGAAATGTTATCAATATCATCATTCCTGCAGACCAACAAAAAGCATCTCTAAACAACGTAGTTTGGCTGGACCTTAGCTTGCACGTCGGTCTTCTGGACAGAAAAAAAAGATGGGGATCACTGCAGAGAATAAAATACTGGCTTGTTTAACAAGACACACGTGCAATGACAAAGCGATTCCTTTCTCAATGTTGATCACCCACCTGCACGAAGATTAGGTCAGATATTTACCTGAGCTGCCAAGTTGTCACTCATGCTAGAAAAAAACCCCAGAAAGCCACACAGTATACATTCATCCTTCATCTCTTCAGGGATAACAGATAAAGTCCTGCAGAGAATAGAGAACAGGGGCTTACTTGTCCTTTTAACCATCTACAAAAAATCCAGTCAACAATTATTACTCAGATCAAACACAGAATAGTGTTTACAAAGAGCCTTACAATCAAGCTGAAATGAATGAAAAAGCAGCAGTTAAATCATTGCTGTTGTTATGTTAGGGCTGCATTGTATCAGGAAATAATGATATTATTGTGAAACATGGCAACGTTTATGTTGCTTACTGTTAACCTGTATTGAATTCACTAGTCTCTTGCTTTTCTATTTTCAAAGTTTTCCAAGAATTTACCAGTAGCTTCAGTGTCTTGGTGACTGACGTCTACATTAAGCATGGAGATTGAGGATGTTAAGGTTCAAGCAAAGGCCCTAATATTTTACTGATATGCAGTATAAATGCTTGGAGCCTAAAATATAGTACATTAACCTAGTAGGGATTGAATTATTGTAATATTTTGCAAAGACTTTTTTTGCAGAAAATCATTTTTCAATTAAGTCTCTATTTTATGTTTTATTCTTTTTATTAATGTCTTATTTAGTATTCTATTTTTTATTAATAACTCAAATGAAATAGTTTTAAATTTCAAACATTACTGTAATTATATGAGTTCAATTTGGTGTCTTATGAAATTGCTGCTATTGTCTCCATTAAATATTTCCATTACAAATGTATATTGTATGACGTGTATTACTGAGTGTTTCATCAGATTGTACTCTGGCGCCCCTTTGTGGAAGAGAAATGAAGTGCAAATGTTTCTATATGTCCTTTTTTCAAGAGCCCTGTTGCAAAGGAAATGTATTTAAACCAACAAAATAGTCAAAGACATCGTTTTTCTTCTTTTAATAGTAAAAATAAACGAACATTTTTACTTAGATGTGAATAAGAAATAATTATGATTTTACATTATGATAATATCATTATATCACTGCTAATATTAATTGTATATAATTATTATTACTTCCTTATGTGAGTAAAACACTTTGCCTCTTAGACAAGCCTCAAACTTAGATGGGTACCAGGTTATATAATCTGTTATAATTCAAGTTACCATGTTATACATGTTAACTTTTTTTTGGAAAATGTCATAGTTTTAAAAAGTGGACAAATACTTTACAATGTAAGAAAAATATCAATATATATAAAAATTTATATTAAAATAATCGGTCAAATAACTTTAAGAAACAGGCAATTTGCTGCGTTTTATTCATCTCCTGTACGTGCACGTCCCCATCCCGTCATACATAAAGAACATAATATGTCATCATATAACACTGACACGAGCAAGGGAGGGGCTGCTCTGCTGCAACATAGATTAGATAGAATGAATGCAACGGGCGTAAAGAAGACTTCCTGTTAATGCAAACATCGCAGCAGCAACTGCCTGACACATCTGGACTTGGAAAAAGGGGGGGGGGAGGCCTGGCTGTAGTGTTAGCGAGCTGCTGAGGGGAATGGACAGCATCTAAATGCCAACCTGCAAGACGGTGAGTGTGGCGGACTGCGTCTTTGGCATGGACTGCTGATCGTAGTGTGATTGTAATGTCGACGCGTCGGTTCCCTTTCAGTGTAAGTAATAGCCAAATCATTCCCTACAACCGCACGCTAGCTGCTATCTACTAGCAAGCATTAGCTTGTAGTGAAAGCTTGGCTCTGGAATGAGAGCGGCTAATAGGCTACGGCTAAATGTTAGCATTAAGCTAAATAGCATCGTAGCTGTGTGAAATCCTCGATAGACTTTGTAACTTTATTAAACCAAAATGGCTCGATATTTATATTTTATAATATTGAGTTATAGCTCATAAATGATACTTGAAGAATAAAAATATTTGTATTTGTTTAAGCATTTCGGTTATCCATGAAACATGACCATTGGCTAGCTAGTGTAGCTAGTTAGTCATTGCTAATTTGACTCTGAATGAGCAGCTTGTAGCGCTCAGTGGGTCGGTTCAAAGTAGTTAAGTGGCATTAACTTTTATTTAAACCTGTGGTTGAAGTGGGAGATGATTAGGAGTCGGTTTTAAAGGAAAAAATCTCGATGTGATGATGAAGCTAGCGCAAACGGCTAGCGGCTGTGCTATTTAGATCCACCATCCAAACCCCCTCCCTTCATCATTAACTACTTTACATCAAAGTTTTAAACTTGTTTCTTATGTGTCTAAAAAGGCGACACGTTTAGAGATTCGTCTGTAATATATAATTGTACGTTTTCGTGGAATAGCATCAACGTGCTAAGGTTGATGGAAGCATTATTACACCAAAAGAAGTGAGTTTTTCACATGTACGTAGAAATACTGTTTAAATGAACGTCTCAGTACAATTATGAAAGCGCTGCGTATAGATCACAAGTGTGAGAAACATCTCTGGGTTTCCTAGGGTGCGATGTGGGATGGCAGATATGTCAGAACATTTTGTTACAATTTGTTCTAAGAAAGTGAGATATGTTAGGACAGGACAAAGTGCAGGGACATTGCAAAAGCATATTATTCTCACTTAGCCTACGTTCACCCAAGTCATCAGTGGCAGTCTTCACTACCTTATACAGATCTTACAATCATAGAATAGTTAGAGAAATTCTGGTGTTAAAGCAGCAAAAACATTATCATCGTTCTAATCTTGATTGAATTAGAATATCCCTGAAATAAGATGTTATTACTTGACATTTCCAACTGTTACCATAATTAGTCCCACAAAGACATGCTTGATTTGATTGTTGCTGCCAAAATAGATGCAGTGTTTACAACTGCTTTGTGGTCTTGAACCAACACATTATTTTGTTATAAGATCTCTGTTCTGGTGTGGTGATGGTTGGATTGTATTGATTCTCATTTGGTTTCTGTTTTTATTAATTCATCGGGTCCATTAAAAAGCTGTTATTGTGTAGTGCAACTTTATAAAGATGTTAGAAGTAACAAGCAGGATTCGTTTTTGTAGTAGTAGCCTTGGTAAGGTTGCCTCTAGCCCATGATCTTGTGATATTTGTTACATATTTATTGATGTACCATAAACATTAGATCTCATGTTTGAAAGATGTCCATTTTCCTCTTTATTGACCATACCAAAAAAGTGGACTTTGTTTTCTAACTTTGAATATGTTTCGCTTCCCATCCAGGAAGCTTTTTCTATTCAAAATTTTTAAATTAGTGTTGAGTTCCAAGCTTTATAGAGTAACCCAACAAAGTCTTGTTTTGGATTAGAAAGCATGCAAATTGAACCGAAAGAACAGGTCCACTCCTCTTTATTGATTCTTAAAGACAATCGGTGTATCTAAATCTAGAAAATCAGATTTTTGTTTTAAAACTTCAGTTCATCACTATTTTCTTTCCATGCATCCATCAAATCTGTTTGGGTGATGCAGAGAAAAAAAAACACCCTAATTTTGAATGTGTGTGTAAACTTGAAATGAGGACATTTCTTTAGTGTAGTCATACATATATTATATATCAACTGGCTTCTGTGCATTGTTCTCCTTTGTTCATTGTAGTCTTGCTGTTTCCTAGATCTAAACTGCAGTTGGTCATGTGTCCATTTCTGTTTTAAGGATGTTATATCAAATTTATAATATCAAACTATAACTTTAGCCACTCCATTGATACTTTGAGTTAAAAGTTAACTTATTATCTAAATAAGACTTTGCTCACTTTTTGAGAATTTATTAGTAATATTTAGTTTTTTTAAAGAAGCCAAAGATGGCATCAAGTGTTTTAAGATCCTTTTTTTTTTCTATTTTCTGGTTAACATGTAATTAGCCTGAAATGAAAAATTTGTCTTATTGTTTCGTTTCCAGTGAAAGAACCCACCCATTGAATATGAAATCATCATGGCTTTGTGTGGTCTCATTTTCACATTGGTGAAATGATGCACATATTACTCTCCCTTCAGTCCTTTCACGGTCTGGTCTATTTTTATATCGTCGCTTTAGTATCCGTTTTAAATTGTTCTCCGTTCTTTGCTTGTTAAGCAGTTCTGGCCCAGGCCTGGTGTGGCCCACAAACCGTTTTTCAAAGTAGGCAAATGCTGCCTGCTGATGTTGAAGAAAGCATTAACAGCTTGCCTGCTGGCTCCCCCCCCCCCCCCCCCCCCCCCCTTCTACTGAAATGACAAACTTTTTAATAAATGGTCTGTATACACCAACATAGCAGCAGCATTCAGCCCATGCTCTAACAAGAAATATATGAGCTGCATTAGCTTAGCTTGCATAGTTTCGAGTCGAGGCAAAGCATGTGATCCTCACGCATCATGTACATTTCAGCTGCTGAGCATGTATTCTTTGGCTGCTCTTCTACTTTGCCCTATCCAGTTTACATGGCATTCTGTGTGTGCATGAGTATGAGTTTTTTATTCATCTAACAGAAGTGAAAGTCAGCCATCTTCCTATATATATATTTCTTAGTTTTAGTTTTAAAGTAACCCTCCCTTTCTGATGAGAAGACCTTGAGGTTTGTTAGACAGATATCTCGGTAAGCTTTCATGATTGAAGTGTTTACATCCTCTGCGTGCTGCTGGTACACACGTTGGAGAGGATGATGTTTAATATCCTGGTCAGTTGGGAAATGTGGGGCAGTCAAGAGGATAAGAGAGAGAAGTTAAAGCTAGACATTTACTGCAGCTGAAAGAGGTAGTTCATCAGTTTTAAACAAAGGTTCCATCTAAGGTTGTCCATGAGCTTTTAATACAGCATTATTTGCAATTAACAACTCATTCTTGCCGTTGTGATTTAATGTAAGTGCGGATTAGCTGTCCCTGAAAGCTGAAGCAAACTGCTTGTCCTAGATGGGCCTAAACTGATGCAAAACTACTTTCTAGATTTCCAAAGTCTCATATTTGTTACGTTGTATTTTATGAACCTTTAGACTATTATGATTATTCTACCAGATGGCTATTTAGCAGTGATTGTAAACAAAGGAAATGGCAATAAGAGGTGTTCCTCAATGATCTTCCTGTTTGAGACATGGACGGAGAACAGAGCAGCGCATTTCTAATCTAAATTAACTGAGAAAAAATAGAGGCTGTCAAGCCAAAAATCAATAGATGTCTGATTCCATGGTAGTTTATACTATATATATATATTTTTTTTGGTTTTGTGATGTAGTTAATGAGTTTTTTCTTCATGGGAATATTCTTGAAGAACCACGTCCAGTAACCATTTCTCTATAACTTTACTTCCAATGCAGATATACCGACTGTTTTAGTTCAAAGCATGGCAAAATCTGCTGTAACATTTTTAAAATTAATGTGTTTTGAAATGGAGGATAATGCCAAAACTGTCAGGTCAGCTTCAGCCTCTTGGACTGGCTTATTTGTCTTCGTATTAAATGGATACGCCTAGAGAGTTCTCTTGTGTAATTATGTATGAAATTACTGAAGTTTCGTTTTGAGGCAGTTACTTATCTGTTCTGGATCTCACGCCTAACTACATACCACTTTTTTTCCCTTTTTTTTCTCTCTCTCATACACCTAAAGTCAAGGAAAGTGATACATGAAGAGCCCTAAGGTAAATTATTTGGTTTTGGTTCTAAAAGGCTGTATCTTGTTAACAATTTTATGAGCCACTTGAATAAAAAAAAAAAAATAGTTTTTATCAGTTAATCTTTTTATATATATATATATATATATATATATATATATATATATATATATATATATATATATATATATATATATATATATATATATATATAGAGAGAGAGAGAGAGAGAGAGAGAGAGATAAATATATAAATATGCCCTAGATTTTCAAGAAACCAGTTATACTTATCTGTTAAATTAAACGTTAAGCTTTTTAGTACATGTTTGTGTCATGGGTGGTAGGCTTTGGGAAGATTATCACGTGTGCATTTACCCTGGTTGTTGTAAATACTTTTCTTTGCAAGACTTCTGAAGAACAGTTGGTGTGTTCCAACCTTCCAAGCAAAACCAGATTTTCCGCTTTCCCTGCCAAACGCTATATGTACAGTACACCTTATACGGCCTGGCTCCAATGATTGTTAACGTTTCACTACAGTCACAGACGGGTAGACTTTGTACAGGCTTTTGCGTAAGCTTTATCTGCTTTCCCATCAGTTACCTTTTAAGGTGTGACTATTCACCCAAGAGTTTTCCTTTTAGCACTTAAACCTCTCATTTGAAACCTTTGGAAAGTGATTATTCGCACCTTTTAGGCTTAACTTTATAACCACCTGCCTAATAGTGTCTTGATTCCTTTTGCCAGGTAAAGTCCCCCTGATTCGAGATGTTATCATCTACACTAGACTGAAGGGTGACATGATTATATATATATATATGTAAATTCTAGATTTGCGCTGTTTAGGGTCGCTCTACGCTCCAGTAGCTCTGCTAGCTTGGTGCTGATGTTTATTTTTAAGAGAACATTAATTTCCCTGCTTTTAGGTTACTTTCTTTTTTTGGATGTTTTTTGCCTCTGGTTTTTGAATGCTGTGAAACTGGAATAATTAACATTTAATTATAATTTCTTTAGCTGAAATTATACTTAGAACTACTTCCGCAAGTACTAGCTGAATTGAAAAGAAGCCGCCAAGGATAGAATTAAGGGCAGATTATACTTCTGCAACCGCACACATCAAATGTCGCTTGGGTCCGGTGGCGAACCAGTTTTGCTGGTATGCTTCTGCACCATCGGTCTGGAATTTCCAAAACAACAATGGTGCATATGCACAGTCCCGGATATGGAGCTAGAGTTTCTAGACATCGAAGAGGAACAGGTTCTGTTAATGGAGTTGTAAAAAAGAGCGAATAACCTTTCGCCGTAGTTGTCCATTGTAGTTGTTCCTCGGTTTTTAAAAATGGCGCACCCCGCCACCGAATCGAGAGGGACGACCACACCGACAGCCAGAAAGGCATAACAAGGACCAATCACAACTGCTTTTTGTCAGCGCGATTCCGCTTGAGGTCTGTGCGGGTTTGCGACCCTCTGTAGTCAGGATTTTTTGAGGTGCGCAATGACGGTTGCAGAACTTCTGTGTGGGGGGTGTGGCCATGCACAGAGACAGATTTGATGAGAGAAGAAAAAGAAATTAAGTCCATCTCTTCTATCAGTCTTTGTGGGCAATATGAGATCTTCAAAAAACAAGTTAGAAGAACTCTAAGCCCTAACAAGGACCCAACAAAAGTACACTTGCATCATTATGTGTTTTACTGAAACGTGGCTGTGAAATCATATCTTGGAATCCAGCATCACTGGTACGTTTTCTAACCATACCAGTAGACTGAGTTCTAGGGAAGATTAGAAAATTCAAAGGTGTTGGCGACTGGAGAAGCAACTGTGAAGCCGTCTACAAGAACGGAAAGGACAGTCTGTACTTCCTTAAGAAGCTTAGGTCCTTCGGTGTTTGCAAGACAGACCGCTACAGAAGATCGTTCCTGAACAATTGGTTTAAAAAAAGAAAAAAAAAAAGAAAGAAAGAAAATATGAGTTACTGCAACATTTAATTTCCCCTTGGTATTAATAAAGTATTTTTAAATTTAATATTCACCAACAACTATAAAACAGATTTTTGAAGTTGCTGGAGTTGTTGATCCAGGAAGTCCAGGTTGTTGCAGACTTGAAAACTTGGCCTGGATCCATTTTATACCGTTTCTGCACAACGCAGCCGCGTTACAAAAAAAAAAGTGAAACCCTGTGTATTCTGTTTTTAAAGTGTAATGGTATCAGTCATACTAGGGATTTCAGATAACTTAAAGCTATTGCAAGAGTCACTTAAGTTTTCACCAGCTGCTTGGAACATAAAGTAAACCAGCTCTGCCTCATCAATTGCTGCAATTTGTTGCTCAGCCGGGCCAAAGAGTGGTTTTTATTTTTCTGCACTTTCTGTTGCTAGCAAGATAGAAATATTGTGCCATTTTTAAATAATTACTGCAAAAAACATAAAGACACTTTAGTAATTAGAAAATGTCCACTCATCATGGTTCATTTGAAAGTCTGTTTTTTGATTTAAGATTTAAATTGTGTTATGGTTGCCACCCTAGAAGGTAACCTTTTCATATTTGCGTATAAACGCAGAACACAAATGGCAAAAGGAGTGACATGCTGCACAGCAATGCATTTCAAAACACGCCAATTTGTGTGGGTGTTCATTCTCAGTTTTTCCTTTAAGCTTGAATCACTTTCCAATCAGCATCTGAAAGGTTTTTGCCAGGTCGAACCTTCTACTGAATATGTTTCTTATTGATATCTAATGTATTATCAAGGTGCGAGGATGTCAACACAACCCCCTGCATTTTTATTTGAATCGACTAGGCCTGGGTGATTAATCCAATTTGCTCTTAATGATTTACTTTTCTGATTACATCTGGAGTTTTGGTTTTCACCATTGACCCCTTAAGTTTCCATAGCAAATACTAATATATCATCATCACTCTTTGTTCTTAATGATTAATCATATCTGAGAAACACGCTCACTGTGATGCCACTAGGTGCATTTAGTTCGTTATATTTTCATTGTTTGTTTTGAAAAATGATTGCTTAAAAGCATGTTTTCAAATTGTGTTTCACAGATCACATTTGCTTCACTTCAAGCCCATAATAACTGCTTGCTCTTGACCAATAAAAATGTTGTTGCTGTTATTAATACAGAACAATTGAAAACTGTAGTTGCTCATCACAGCAAAGGAAAGCCCACCCCAGACGTAACATCAATAAAAAAATTATTGGAAAGTGTTTTTTTAAAAATAGGAGAAAAGAAAAAAGTAGATTGACTTTTTTTTTCTTCAAAGTTTCATTTTATGATTACATTTTTTTTCTTATTCTTAAAATTTCCACTTATAAATTTAAATTCTCGGTTGCTGCAATAATGAAACATGTACTCCACTTTTGAAACTGTCTTTAAGCTTACCTATTTATCCTGCTTTTTACATATAGACCTCGGAAGCAGAAATATAATATTTTCTCTTCCCCTTCATCTCACATTGGTTATAACATCCTGTCTAACCTCTCTCTCTGCATGAATACACAAAGCAGCTGTAAGCGTAGAATATTAAAACAAGCTTTGTTTTCTTTCTTTTCAGGCTGTCGACAAGCTGGAGAAACATATCCAAGAGATGGACGACGGCAGCTACATCGAGTTTGATGTGCCGGAGTTCAGTAACACGGTTCTGACCCAACTCAACGAGCTGCGGCTTCAAGGAAAGCTCTGTGACATCATTGTTCATATTCAGGGTCAGCCGTTTCGAGCTCACAAGGCCGTCCTGGCGGCCAGTTCACCCTACTTTCGTGACCACTCGGCCCTCAACACCATGAGTGGCCTTTCCATTTCAGTCATTAAAAGCCCCGAGGTTTTTGAGCAGCTCCTTGCGTTCTGCTACACGGGTCACATGTCTCTCCAGCTCAAGGATATTATTAGTTTTCTCACAGCGGCCAGCTTTTTGCAGATGCAGGCAATCATCGACAAATGCACCCAAATCCTGGAGAGCATCCATTCCAAGATCAGCCTCCCAGTTAGTGCCGGTAGTCCAGATAAGGAAAGCTCACAGATCAGTCGCAATGGTGTCAATGACAGCAACCTGTTCATAAACCCTACCCAGATCTCCCCCCCTTATTACCCCCGACACAGCCAGGGGGCCAGCGAAGCTCGGTCGGAGCAGGCAGGTAAAGGCCCGGGACGCGTGCGGCAGCAAGAAGAGGGGCAATCGGATCGCGGCAGTAGTGACGGCGTGTCAGAGCACGACGCAGCCATGGAGGGAGACGCCGAACAAGTAGAACTAATCGGCAAAGATGGGCAAGTCACAGACGTGCATATAAAAGTGGAGAAAAACGACAGGCCGTCGTACTCTGATAGTTCCTCGGCTGGCGACGATGGATACCACACAGAGTTTGTGGATGGAGAACAGATTGTCGCTGTTACTGTGGGTTCCTACGGTCCCGTAATCCAGCCTGCCACCTATTCTTACTCAGGGCTGTCCTCCTCCTGCTTTGTCAACCTCAGTAACTCCAGTCCTTCTCGCTCCATCCTTAGCAGCTTCAGAGGCGGGAGAGCCAGATCAAAGCGCCCAGTGGCTATCCCCGCAGGAGTTCTAAGTCAAATGAAACCCAACTCGGATGATGCTGAATCCGCCGTCGGGTCTGCAGGGTTGGAAAACGATGTGCGAGAGCGCAGCCTTCGGAGCCAGTGGTACCCTTACAACGAAAGACTCATTTGCATCTACTGTGGAAAGACCTTCAATCAGAAAGGGAGTCTTGATCGCCACATGCGTCTGCATATGGGAATTACCCCCTTTGTTTGTAAATTCTGTGGCAAGAAATACACCAGGAAAGACCAGCTGGAGTACCACATCCGTGGCCACACAGACAACAAGCCCTTCCACTGTCAGATCTGCGGTAAATGCTTCCCATTTCAGGGCACCCTTAACCAACACCTGCGGAAGAAGCACATGGGAGCATCGGAGGTTAGCAATCATCTGGACTCCCCAGAGAGAACCGAGGATAGCTTAGGTCAAAAGGATCACGGGGATGCGCCGGAGGGGATGGCGTATGAGGCGCAGTATGCAGAAGAGGCACCAGCCAATGATATTGACGTGAGTTCCAAATGCAGTCCGGAGGAGGCTCAAGCATCCAGATGTGATTTTTAAGGTCCTGCTTCAGGTTCAGGAAGCTTTAAGAAATGATTAGTTAAACTCAGCTTAAAGGACTCAATTTTTTTCTGGAATCCCTCTGCTACAGACCTTTCTTGATACAAGCGTTTCTGTCAGTTTTTTTTTGTAAAATCCATGCGGAGAATGAGTGAAAGAAAGTGGATGCTTTATAATAGAAATTGTTTCAAGCAAAGGGAGTCACAACGTACTATTTTTGCGGTGGTCCCAATAATCACGACCTCCAGTTGATTGCTCTTTTTATCTTTCCATGTTTTTTTAAGAAAAGAAAAAAAATATTTACAGAGTTATATAGGCATGTTGCAATAATTGATAATGTGAAAGCTCTGGTAAGATGCTTGTCATATCACCTTTTTACCTGACCCGTTTTTGCACATGTGGCCACTGGAGGTCACTGACTCACAAGGAATGATTTTTCTGCCAGTGCAAAGCTTCGTGTGACATATCCGTTTAATACCTCATTTTGCAACTACATACTCATAACAGACAGTATTTTAACTTAAATGAAACTCACCGGGTTCTACCTCATAGCCAAGAACCTATCCAGCACAGACGTGTTCACAGTTTAAAATCCGTTTTTTGCTTTTGTGTACAGTTTATCTTCTTGCCAAAACGCTGTAACACTTATTCTTTTTACACAAAGCCTTGATACTAGGATGGGAAATATTCCTTGCTGATTGTATGGACTGGGGACAAGGTCCTTGTCAATTGTCTATGGTCAGCCAGGTTAAAATTAAGATCCAGAAGGTGCTATGTTAGGAGTGCATTAAATTTGCTAGCTTACATGTTTTCCTTTGGCAAAATGTTGAGGATAAATTTAGAAAATGGCCCTGTTATGATTTCAAGATACATGTTATTGTCTGAGTTTTAAAACACATCATTACTTGAAGTCTCATTTAGTTGGTCCAGGTGTTGCTTTTAGATACTTTCGTCCATGTGATGGGTGAATCATGTCCACAAAGTATACCTCTTTACCCTGTAGGCAAATTTACAATGGATTAGCATATGTGTATTTGTTTTATGAAGGGGAAGGCTTCCATGTGATTCTCAATAGTAGTTGCTGTTAACTAAGCGCCACCTAGGGAGCGACTTGGAACAATATGCAAAAACGAATGAACAAAGGAATCTCAGCCATTGCCTCAAGGTTTATATTCCGTCATCTAGAAAAGCAAATTTTTGTTTGTTTTTATCTTTTTTTCTTTTTTGGTTGTAAACCCAATTAGGAGTGTGTTCCTTTGAGTCTTTTTATCATGGATGTCGCAAAGCTGAATTACCGTGAAATGATTAAGGTTTAAAAACAAATGTTTTTTTTTTTTTTTTTTTAAGTATTGCTTCACTCTGCAGAATTAGGTCGCTTCTTAGTGCTACCCTAGATATTAAATAAGCAGAGCGTTGTTGGTCATTCTTAATGCATATTCGGAAAATGACTTTGGTTGGAGAAAAGTAGAAAAACTTTATTGACACTCAGCAATCTTATAAATTCTATTGGCTAAAGGTCTTGCTTGTGGCATGACTTTTTTTTATCTTATATTCATTGTGTTATTTGGGATTAGGGAAGGTTTTTTTTTTAAATATATATATATATATATATATATATATATATATATATAAGGCACTGAAAGTGCAAGACTAATTGTTTGCAAGTTGTAAACTTAGCCGGGTGGTTGTCTTTGTGCTACTCTGCTCTTTTATTTGCCATCCAGCTGTTAAATGCCTTTGTGTGTGTGTGTTTTTTCAAAGAGCACCTACTATATACTTTTATTTTTCTCCTATCTGGGCCGTGTTGAATTTTTGCCAAGGAATTAATAATTGATTATATTATAGTTTTCTTTCATATTGTTTCCTTAATTATTGTGTTTGGTGAAAGATTCTGCATAAAATTACTTAAGTACTTTTTTTTTTTTTTGGTTTCTCTTCTGAATGTGCTTCTGTCATCTTGACTCTTTTATCAGATACAGTAGCAACACCAAACTGTGGGGAAATTCTGCTTAGATCATGGCTCGCTTTTTCTTTCCCTCTGTGTACGAATCAACAACAAACTCTTTTACTCATCCCAAGCAGTTTGTCAGCCTATAAATGTTTACTAAGTAAAAGTTTATATCTTTCAAAAGCTGACTGCTGCTGCTTTGTCAGCTGATCCGACTTTAGAAAAATAAGTTGTAGAATCGTTACCACTCATTTGGACTACAAGAAAAACATCCATACTTTTTCGGAAACTGTCAGATTAATTTCTTGAGTGATGAAAATTAATCTTGTGCCAAGAAGTAACACCAAAGACTGATAGGTGATTTTTAGAGTCAGTTTTGATTATACTGCTAATTTAATACTAAATAATGTAGAATTAGTTGATTGCTACTTGCAAGTTTGGTTTCTCAGCTTGTTACAATCAGTTGTGTAAAATTTAAAGAACATTTTAAATAGTAAGGTAACTAATGTTATATTTTAAGCCATAAAGAAGTTAAGTATATAAAAAAAAGTTGTCTAATAGGTTTCATAAATATTAAGTCTGCAAAATCAAAAGAGAGGGAGCAGAGTGGCATCTTTAACCTCGTGCCTTGCCACAAGCTTTATATCAAAGTCAATGCTGGCACTTAGAATATGCCTCTTTTATTTTGAAACTATTTTTAAAAAGTCAAACACTTGAGAACATGAAATAGCTCGGCCAAAAAAAAAAAAAAACACAGCGTCTTTTTTAAGTATTAACACCCCATCGTTTGGATACCCAGCAACCATATTTGTTGTATTTTATTGGGATTTTTTGCTGTAGAAAAAAACGCAAATTGTTGCATAATTGTGAAGTGGAAGGAAATATTTACAAATTTAACATTTTCAAACCTGAAACATCTTTGAACAAACTGCGTTTGCTGCAGTAAGACTAGACACTTATGTGTCAATGTTTTCTTTGTTTTTATTTGTACGATTATTAGCAAAATAGGTTAATTTCCATATTTTTCTTACCAAATTTTGATTTGTCCCTGTATTAAAGTTTCAGATAAAAAAAATGACACAATGCTAGCTTTTATTTCAGGCACCCCCTCTGGGAAGTGACCTTATTTTCAATTTAATCTAATCTGTGAAAATGCTTCTTAAAAATATAAGTTTTCACAGCAAACAATGAAAATGTAACAAATTAAATGTCTGCAGCTGAAGGTATTAAACAGTTTATTATTTATCAATAGACATTTAAAAAGTGATGAACTGATCTCGCTGAGCTCTAAAAGCCCAAGAACTGCAAAAAAAAAAAAACAGACTTTCCAAAAATTATAATCTTCCTAAACCGACCCATTAGCAGAGGCAGCTGGACTTTAACACCTATCCAACAGCTCTGTTGGCCTAAACAGATGTGCTATAAAAAATCTCCAAGATCTTCACAGAACAGCTGGATCTTTATGGAGATAGAGCTCTTGGGAAGAAGTGTGTCACCATTTCCAAAATTGTATTTTAGTAAAGTATAAACATTCTTTATTTTCTTCCTACTTCACAATTTTGCATTACTTTGTTTTAATTATTACTTAACGAAACCCATCGGATTTACACATATGATTGTAATGTGGTCAAATGCTCAAGGGGTGTGAATACTTTATCGAGGCTGTGTAGAGGGGTTTTCAAGAATGAGCTGGACCTAATTTGGTTGTTTGTTCTCGGCTCAGCTAAGTCCGGTCTCTAATTTTCACCTAGTCTTCGTTTGGCATGGGGCTGGGCCACAGATCCGGCGTAGCAGGACATTACAATCAAACAAGGCCGACTTGTTTCCAAGACACGTTGCTACGTTCAACGACTGTACTCGACAATCTTGAGTTATGTACTGTATTTGAAGCGTTTCAGCGAAGGAAGGTGATGCATGAAAAAGTAAACCGTATGCTTCCTTTTTGTTCTCTTGGAGCAGGAAACTGCCTGAATATTCAGCAGATTATTAATGGATCTTTGTGCAGGAAGCCTATCCTCATATATTGTAGCCAAATTGCACGTTGCTCAACCAGAACATTATATGAAAGTGCTAACTGATAGATTTAACTTAAGTTTATTGTAATTGTTTCATTGATTGTGCACTTATAATTGTCAAAACTACATACCAGTTCCACCTGGGAAGTCTACTTTATCTTGTTATTTACATTAAAGGAACTCCATAATAGTTCCCACAGTTATTTTGGTAAGTAGGTCGGGATCTTCTTCCCTTAAGTGGTGCTTTTAAGCTTATTAAATTGTGTATTCATAATTGGTGAATGGAGGCAGAGTTGTTTTAAAGGCTTTTAATTAAACTATAGATACTTCTTAGATAGTACACACTCAGAACCAACTGAACTTGAAACACACAAATTAGCCTTTTAGTCAAGTTTTATTTCCACCTATTTGAGTTAAATGGGAGATTCAAGTTGGGCCACAAGTAATCAAAAGGAAGTGTTTACAAGGAAGGCTGTCGGACTACTTCTTTTTCGAATTGCAGCTCATTCCTTTTCTAATACACTCACTTCAGGTAGTTGACAAACACTGATACAGGCTTAAAGAAATCACAAGTCTTCCATAGCTTTTCTGTCAGTTTCTGTCCACTGTGTATTTTTTGAAAGAAAAGCAATAACCTTTTTGTTTTCTGAGAGGGAAACTGGCGTTTTGGGATCATCAAACCTATTAAAATGTTGGCCTGTCACGTCAGCGAGCGGTTGAGCTGAAGTAGGACCAGAACAATTTCATATTGCTTTATTTTTTTTTAAAATATATTTTATAATACTTTGGACAGCTTGACTTAAGATATTTGATCGAAAATGTGTTGTTTCCTCAGAGAAGTTTGAAACGCTCAGTAGTCGGTAGGCTACAATAGCGAACCTTTGCGCTCAGCGGCACTCTTCAGAGCCGCACGTCCAGCTGAGTGAAACAATGAAAGGGATTTTTGGGCTGTTTCACCACTGTTAAGAGAGCGGGCAATCTGTTGACATGTTGAGGTTCACCGATCTCTTATGGCTCCTCTGGATTCAAAACTAGTTGCAGGAATCCCTACACTTGCACTAGAAAGTGTCCAGCCACCTTGTTTCTGTTGACAAGGCATAAAACAAACAACCTCGAACTCAGGGTATGTTTTGCTAAAAGTAGTGTCCTTGGACACTGAGCTAGATTCCATAGTCGAAATGTTTGCTTCTCCTTTGATGGGGAAACATGTCCTCAACCCCCAAACATTCTGCCTCATGCTCTCAATGAGCCCTTATGTCCCACACAGCTGAAACCTGAGGCCCACTGTAGATCACGAACTGAACCATGACAGCAGAAAAAGCCCC